AAAAACAGTAAGACATTTTTATCTGGTTTGCATCGGTTTTCTAGACTCTATTAATCACAACTGTCTTTTAAGCGGGGAAAAATCCAATTTATTATTTTTATTGTCTACTGGTAGAGTAAGCTGGTAAAATGCATTGAAGTGAGTTATTTCAGTGGTTTTCAACAAGTTAGTATAAAAATACCCTTGATTAAGAAAGGTATTTTTCTTATTTTATGAGGAAGCTGATTTTACTTGAGTATGTAAAGAAGATGGATAGGAGTGAACATTGAGGTAACGGGCGGGTGACGTGAATAACCGGCACGACAGTATGGAAGGCTATGGGGGATGTGATGACAAGAGCGATCACTGAATGAAGAATAAAAATCAATTTACTAAAATTAAATCAGTCTCAGAGGAAAAGAGCAGTGCTCTACAGAAAACACCCATAAAGTGAATCACGTAAAAGCTATTTCAGGCAAGTGACACTCCACTACAGAGAATGTGAAAAGAACAGGAACCAAAAGATGTCCCCACAGCAAATGCAACCAAGCGGCAGCAGACTCAGGCTGCACGTACCCCAGGCTCTATTCTAGGCCTGAAATGTCACGGAATGCCAGCATGGTTTCTACCCCTACCTGGACATATTCCAGAGTGGGTGTGCAGCCAGCCAGCTGGCTGGGGGAGGGCTGCTGACCGGTCTGGGGCCCCCTGCTCTGGAACTCATTCTTCTTCAAGGCTATTGGCTTTCAGGATAAAGGATTCACTCTCTCTGTTCTATTATTTCCCAAACCTGGAGAATCTCTAAACTGGAAACAGGGTCCAAAATTGGGAGTTCTATTTTCTTCTGTGCCCAAACCTATGAAATCTTAGGTGGATCCCATAATATCTTCATATCTTCTGCCACCAGTACCTACTTCTCTCTCTAAAATCAAGATTAGAACAGTTTTGTCCAACAGGCAGTTTAGATGTTATAATTTATTCAACCATGGGGTGAAACAACTGGAAACACAACACAGCAAGTCCAGGGGACTGCTGTTTCGGGGTGGAGTGTGACAGGGCATGACTGGACATTTGGATGTGTCTGGACTCAGTAGACACAGTGGAAAATCCCACCATACATGGAAAGGATCAATCCCCTCATGGTTAGATTGTTTGCAGCAATTTAGGCAAGAGAAAAGTTAAGTTGTTGCAGAATTGTAGTTTGTTTTCACTGAGCAACATGGAAAAATGTACAAGATGGAATATGTTCAGTGAGATCGAAAATCTTGCACAGCATTCTACATTTTAGATAGAATTATCTTTGGTTACAGTTTAGCATGGTAAAAATAGTACTGGATTGCAAATAAACTGAGAGTCCCAATGAAAAGACAGGCCTGAGCCAGGTGAAGAGGGTGTCACAGGGTTCCTCAGGCAAAGTGAGCAGTGAGTACAAACGCCTGGCAGTGAGAGAGGGAGGACAGCTTGGAACAAAGTATGGCTTAGCATGAGTCAGGGGCAGAGCAGGAGGTGAGGAGAGATCAGAACTCAGGGTGGAACGAGCAGGGTCAAATCAAGAGGGAATTTGGCAACATGTTAATAGCAGAGTTACAACTTAATTCTAAAGTTGTGAAGTCACTGGAAAGGTTATTTCAAGCAGGGGCGGGCATGGTCACATCAGCAGGAAAGGAAGGTCCCTTTGTCATCTCTGTGGAAATCAGCCTAGAGTTAGGCAGGACGGGAGGCAGGGAGGATAGACAGTAGAAGCCTGAGGTTTTCTTTCTTTCCTTCTTTTTCTTTCCTTTCCTTCCTTCCTTCCTTCCTTCCTTCCTGACAGAGTCTCACTTTGTTGCCCTCAGTAGAGTACTGTGGTGTCAGAGAGCACAGCAACCTCCAGCTCTTGAGGTTAGGCAATCCTCTTGCCTCAGCCTCCCTAGTAGCTGGGATTACAGGTGACCACCATAACGCCAGCTATTTTTTTTGTTACAGTTTGGCCAGAACCAGGTTCAAACCTGCCACCCTCAGTATATGGGGCCGGTGCCCTACTCACTGAGCCACAGACGCCGCCTGAGCCTGAGGTTTTCATGTAGGACGTAACCTACCCTTGGTCAGGGTGGTCTAGAGGAGGGAGGACTAGCTCCTGGATCCTTAAACTCCACCAATTGGTGGCCAGCATTATCTACAGCTATCTCTGTAGCATTTTCAGTGTAGGCCACTTTGGATAGGCTTAAAATATAGCTTAATTGCACTCCCACTGAGTAGGTAAATGTCAAAATGAAAATACAAATTAGCTCACCATCTGTTTGAAACTTATATTTTAAAAAATGGCCAATTTCTCCCACTCTTTGCAGTGTAAGAGTGGTTTATTTTTATGTTTGTTTTCATTTTTATCCTCAGAGACAGCTGGGTTGCTTTCAATTCCAAAAACAGTGGAAGGAATGAGAGCAGTCTTTACTGGGTAACTTGATTGTTCTGAAGGTGAGAATCCTGTCTGTGATGGGAATTAGCCGTGTTTGGCATAATTTGGGGAAATATGTCAGGAAGGTGCGTCCTCGGTGAATAATAAGCCCGGATGGGTGGCTTTGTTCATGCTTCATACCCAGCAAGGTCTGCAGCCCAGCGTGGAAGGATCGGCCCTCACAGTTCCTGGAACCCTGGCTGCAGGTATCCCAGGGAACGTGTGGGTGGAGGGCTGATGTGCAAGGAGATTCTGGGGAAAAGGTGTAGAAGCCAGGAAGGTAAGGAGGAGTTAGCAAAGGGCGTGCACGGGCCTCTGTTGAAGTCATTCCATCAGCCCAGAGCACTGCAGGGGCAGTAGAAAAAAGCAGCAGCAACTGCCTTTGGGTAAGACAGGAATGAGACCCTGAGA